TTGAAGTCTGTGCTGTAAAAGGTGGAGACAGTGAGAAAAAATACTACCTGCTCGAGCACAACCGTGATTGAAAAATATAAACTCAGCAGTTTTTGCCTTGTAGTTGTGGAAGCTGGAAACCCAAAACCGGCGTTTTTTCACTTCCTTGAGGAGTGGACGCGATGACTAAACTCGTTCTTATGCTGGAAGTATTGGCGCGTGACTTTCATAATAAAAAACGACGATACCCGAACTACCTCGGAAGCACCACTATTCTTGAAGACAATGAGAAATGCTGGATTTGTGAAGAGGAATTCTCCGAAATTAATGCGAAAGTTTTGGACCATAATCATTTCGATGGATCATTCCTCGGATGGGCTCAAAACAGATGCAACTTCCTGAGACGTACCATACAATTCACCCCTGTGTTTGCCCACAATCTCCAGAATTATGATTTACACCATGTACTGAAGAGTCTGCAAGATACCAATGCCAGAAACACCTTTTCGGTCATTCCACTCAATGACGAAAAATTTATTTCACTTACAATGAGAGTAGTGTGGATTAGATCGTACACTAACGAAAAAGGAAATGTCCATAATGTCTACAAAGAAATCCGTTTTGTGGACAGTTGTAAATTTATGAACAACTCACTAGATGAGCTAGCTCGGAATCTACCCGTGGAAAATTTCATATATCTCAATAACCACTTTGCTACCCGACCGGAAGAAGATGAAGCCTTGATTCGACATAAAGGTTACTTCCCTTACTCGTATGTTGACAGCCATGCAAGATACACAGAAGATGGACTACCTGCCTGCGACAAGTGGATCAACACGCTTCAAGAAGATGTTATTAGTGTCAGTGAAAAAGAATACCAACATACGTGGTTAGTGTACACTCGTTTCGGTTGTCAGACTTTGGGCAAATACAGCGATTTGTATCTAACGACTGATACCTTGATTCTTACATGCGTTTTTGAAGAGATTAGACGAGTGTGTTATGAAACATATAAGCTAGATTGTGCTCAGTATTTCACGGTTAGCAACCTCTCAAGGGATGCATTTATGCGAACATGCAAAGCTGACCTCCATGTACTCACTGATAGGGAGCACTTGCATATGGCAGAAAACCTGATCAGGGGGGGCTTTGCTAGTGTGTTTGAAAAAATAATTGTTTCCGCCAACAATAAATTTGTGAAAAATTACGACCCTAAACAGCCTAACACTTTCCTCTTCATGATAGACGCGAACAATTTATATGGCGGGATTATGGAGAAATTTCCTCTTCCACTTAAGTAATTTGAGTTTAATGACCAAATAACTATAGCCGAAATTCTCAACACGAGCAGAGAATCCGAAATTGGATACATTTTGGACGTCGATCTTTTATACCCCGATCATTTGGACGATTCACATTCGGATTTCCCACTCGTCCCAACAAAAGAAATTGTGTCGAAAATGTGGCTCAGTGAGCTTCAATTGGACATGTTGAAACAAATGAACCTTTCGGATAAAGTGGGCACTACTCCAAAGCTCATACAAAACTTCTTTCCAAAGAAAAACTATACTATACACTACCTAACACTTCAGCTCTATGTCAAACTTGGTTTGAAAATTGAAAAAGTAAATCAAGTACTGCAGTTTAGACAAGAAAAATTTATTGCACAATATGTTCAGTTGAACACTGAGCTCCGAAAAAAATCTACTACCAAGATTTTTTCAAGCAAATTATAAAAAGTGCGTTTGGAAAATTGGAAAATTCTGCGAATCAAAAAGGAATCGACTTATTGTAGATATTGTTCGCAATGCCGAAGAACTGCAAAATTTATCAGGCAAAAAAAGATTTAGCATTGTAAAAATTATTGACCAACACTTGGTATCTGTAACCTCAAAACCCGTGAACATTAAATGGGATAAGCCCACAATTGTTGGGGCAACGATACTAGATTTGGCAAAATTTTATATGTTCCAGTTCCATTACAACATAATCAAGAAAAATTTTGACGCAACTCTTTATATTCGGACACTGTATGAAATCCGCAGCAAAGATCTCTACAATGAAATTGAGAAAAACCATGAACTGCGAAATCACTTTGACTTTTCAAATCTACCAGCCACCCACCCCCTCTACACCAACAAGAATTTTCGCGTTACCCTCAAATTCAACGACGAGTTTGCTGGGGAGGTCATACAGGAGTACGTCGGATTAAAGCCACAAACTATACAGTATTATTTCTTCCAGTAAGTTTCTTTTTTTCTTTTAGTTTGCAATTACCATTAAAGAAAAGGGCAAGAAAAACAAATCATAAGATCTTGTAGTGAGGGGTGGGGGAGGATGAAGGGAGGTATTTATGTGGAAAAGGGAAAAAAAACTGTTAAAAATTTGAAGTAATCGATTGTATTTTCTTTTTTAAGCTCTGATAAGAAACGCGCAAAAAGAATTTCAAAATATACAAGAAGGGAGCTAAGCCATAATAAATACAAAGAATCTTTGACTTACTGTTCGCTGGTCCGGTCAGAAATTGTGCGGATAAATTCCTGTAATCACAATTTACAAACCTTGATAACGAACAAAATTTCCCTGAGCGCATTTGAGCATTTGACAATAAGCACTATATACATTCAGACAGAGTAACTACTAGTCCTTTCGGACATAATCGTTTCCGTGAGGATTTGTTCATATTTTCATCATACCATGGATTGGGACGAACACGACGTAGACGTGGTCCCCACTCCCACCGATAAGGGAAGGGAGAGTTTGGCTGAAGCTATAGAAGCGCAGGGGGGATATAACGTGGATCTTTTTACACCGCCAGATATGGGGTTCACCCAACCCACATACACTGTTCAAGAGCTGGAACAGGATTTGGTAGATTTCGACCAGCTAAGTGGGCAAAATGAGTCAGAACCAGCAGCGTACAACTGCGCCTATTTGGACATCGAAGCTCGAGAAGAAAACGGACGGGAAGATACTAGACCACCTAAACGGCGGTGCTTGAATCGACGTGCTATTATATTAGACAATTCTGACTAACTAAGTTCTGATTATAAATGTAAATGATTAGCTTTTTAGTACTTTTCATTCAGGAAATAAAGCTTTTAAAAAATTTTTTTTCGACCGAAAAGTGAAATAATCAAATCTAATCGTGAGGTGGAGAGGTATTCAAAACAACAAAATAAACTTACCAATATCACAGCATTTTATTTAATTCCACACGTGGCAATAAAGATTACAAAATAATCCACAACATAACGCGCGCAGTAAAGTTTGAACCGTCAAAGTCAAAGGGAAAACATGCACCAACCAAAACTTAATTTCCTTCCCGTTTCCATAAAGTGGCTGGAAAATTACAAATTTTAACTCCGCTTGAAACATGCGTGCCCGAAAAAATAGGGGCTTTAACCTCTTTGGGGGTAAAAAGTGGTAAGTACAACGACATCAAAAAAGGGGGGTTAAAAGTGGTCATTTTCCTAGCCACTTTTACTATACTACTTTTGTGCCCACTGCTTGGCAGTTTTGAAAGTGTTTCTATTGGCCAGGAAGATGCAGGCTATTCTCATGGGCGAAGGACCAAATGGGCGAAAGGCTGATGAGCAAAAGACCCAAAAAAAGCTGAAAGTCAAAAAATAAAATGAATCAATTGCCATTTGAATGATACGGAACTAAATGAAGCAAAAAATTGCTTCTGTTAAAAGGAAACCCTCGAAATATAAATTTTGTTCTGATTCGCGGCCGGTCAGTGAAGATTTGAAAACTCTGCATATTTCCACCGTTTTTATATTCGGCAAATATTAATATTAAATCACAGGAAATATTTACTTTCTTCGAGAATTTCATACTTTCTTTCCAAATTTTGGAATTCTGAAATCTGAGTGGCTGATGTTTATTTCGGCCCATTCGGTCCTTCGCCAATGAAGGATTTCAACCAGAAAGATATTATGCCATGATATGACAATTTATGTTCTTTCCTAGACAATTTTTGTGGAATTTTGAAATGAATGAAACGTATCTGACATCAAAAGTTTTGGAAACTTCTGCTAATGCCGTGAAATTACAGAACTTTCCGGGAGTTTTTGGCAGTGATTGTTCTTGCGATCACTTTTTAGAGCGCAATGATTAGGAACCAGTATTCTATGCATGATGAGCAAAAAATTAAACGGAATAGTTATCATTCAACGAAATTTCTGAGCGTTTCTTCAATGAACGTTTCTACGCCATAAAGTTGAAGATAGGTGATAAAAGCAAGAAAATGATGCCAATTTTTAAAATACACATCCGTTGGTGCATATTTTGCAGTGTTGTTATCTGCTGATTCCGGCCATTTTCTCTGCTGATTTTCTCTAGGGGGGGATTTTCAAAAAAATCTAAGATTTTAGTGTCGACCATTTTTTTAGGTCGCTCAAATTGTTTTTATCAACTCTCTCAAATCAATACAAAGACTCAATCACAGAAATCAACAAAATTTTATGTGCCGCAGGCAAATTTTTGAAGAAAAAAAAGGTTAAAAAAGGCGTTTTTAGGCTAAAAAACAAGCTAAAAAAAGCGTTTTTAGGCTAAAAAAAACAAGCTAAAAAAAGCGTTTTTAGGCTAAAAAAACAAGCTAAAAAAGCGTTTTTTAGGCGCGCTCCCTTCTCAAAATTAGTCTATTTCGGCGTCTATTTTCAGTAAGCCAAACACGTATATCTCAAAGTACAAAACGGGGACCCTTTATGTCGGCAGGGGGTCGAATTCCTGAGATGGGGAAGGAGCCGTGCACTTCCCGGCCCCCTAAATTCGCTGGTGATTCCGACTGTAGGGAACTCACGACACATTCATCGGCCGTCTGCGGGGTCCACCATCGACCCGGGTGCGTTACTGATGGAAAAACAAACAACTTCTAATGGCTGTATTATTCAAAAACAGCGCATATCGTATGAATTTATAAAGTAATGAAAAAATTCAATAGTAAAATCAAAAAGAAGTTTTATAAAGTTGTGGTAAAATATAATAAAATGCAATGTCAGCATGCAGTCTAGCGACTATTTTGCCTTGAAAATCTTTCGGTTGAAAGTTGGCTGAATATTTCTATAGTTGAAAGTCATTTTCTCGCCATCAATTCCGTCCAGGTCTCTTAATTTCCCCATAAATTCAGCCGAGATATCCAGGGGTTTCTCATACAACACGTGCATCACCGATTCTGTAAATGGGGGAGTTGTAAGAGATCCTTTATACGCGTAGTATTCCCCTTTGCCTATGGGGAAAATGGCGTGCATATCAACCGCTGGTATCATAACTGGTTCGACAGCTGGAGCTGTAATTTTGGTCAAGTTGGTTCCAAGAGTATCTTCAATCACTGGCTTCGCTTTCTCATCAGTTGCCGGTTGCTCATTGAGCAAAATTCCGAGTGCTACAAATCCATCTTCAGGCATTTTTTTCTGGCCTGCTTTCGCTTTGAACACAAAATGCATCTCGCCGTCGAACCTTTTCCCGCTTAAAAGGTGATCGGATCCATGGCCCTTACATGTCCCCCAATGGGCGTGGAACGAAGATAGTTGAAATACGCCTTCTATCGCACCCCCCGATAATTCCCAGCTCACGCCTTCGGGAGGAGAGGCTACAAAAGTGTGGCCGTTATTCACAAATGTCCATTCGCTATCCTTGGATCCTTCAATTAAGTCTAACTTGAGCGGACCCCCTTTCTTTTTCTTGGCTTCCTGGATCTTGATGTCAATGGGTGATTGTCTTTCGCCCTGAACTGATATGGGGAATTTTGCAGGCCAGTCAAATTGTGTTCGGTGGTTCCATGACTTGTCGAGCTCTGTCATCCTTAGTTTTTCGGTAAACGTCTAAGCAGAGTTGCAACATGGCATAAGTGGTTTAACTCTCAATCCCCTCCTCAACCCTATTATATCTTTATATGACTCTTTTACAGTTCGTACTTGACTGTTTCTTTCGAGCAGCAAAATCAGTGAACTCTTTCAAAAACCGGCAAAAGTCATTGATGCAAGAATTTCAAAATTTTTGACCAATAAAATGAAAAAAGGGCAAATGGCTCTTTTTCATTTTCCCCCCACCTCACGCCAGTTTCAACTTATTAGTGTAACGAGTGGTTTTACGAACCTGAGTATGAATACCAAATATGTTTGTCGTGGCCTTATTAGTCTGTATGTATATTTTCATAACAATCGGACAATGTGGTCAACAAATTTACATGTAAAGATTTGCAGGTGGGGGGGGGGGGGGGGGGGGGTGAGTTTAAAGAGCCGGGAAAATGAGCATTCATGAAACTGAAATTTTGACTCTTTTACAGTTTCCCATCCCTTGGTGAAAATACAACACTATTACAACACTATTAAAATTGTTCAATATCATGGATGTTTCACATATATGTTGATGCGGTGTAGCCTAGTCGATCAAGGGAGGTTATCTTGCAAGATCTTGCAAGAATCTTGCAAGATTCTTTTAAAGACCATGCATCTCTTTACAACATCTTGCAAACTAAAGAGAGCTAAATGACTCTATTGATCAAAAGTTTGACATAAGTAATGTAAAATTAAATTTTAACCACTAGAACTGCAAAGCTAGATGATATTTTGCAAAAAATAAACCGAAAAAAAAGTTGTTGGAAACCTAATTAGAAACGCATAATCATAACCTCAACCTGAAACTTCTTACATTGCGAAAGCGAAAGAATGAGCATAAATGAAAATTTTTAAAACTCGGTCAAGCGGTTATTGTTTTATCTCAAATTAAACTCAGAGTTCGTTGTGACCATAGTCGAATTGAATCTCCATAGTGTTTTTCTGGCGCTCAGAATCATTTTTCATGAACTCTTTTCATAGTAGGTTATCTTGCATGATATTGCAAGAATCTCGCAAGATCTTTCAAGATCTTGTAAGATAACTCCCATTTGCAAGAGTCTTTTAAGATATTGCTAGATAACTTTCCTAATCGTTAAATGTTATGTTATTGTTCCAACTTTCGAAGAAACTAAGGAATATGTATGCCCGGGGTGATTTTTTTATTATTAGGAACGCATTTTTTAAAAATTGACTGCGTCTTGAGATTGTCAAGCGAGTATGACTGCACTTGACTAAAGAGCGGCTTTGCTGCTGCCATAATACTTTGATAGTTTGTTTCATTACGCAAATTATTTATGCGTAGCGAGTTATCCGCACTCAATTGTTTCAAATTGCAATGAAACAAGCTATTTGGTCCTATTAATTCTATAAACGACTCAATCCTTAGCAGTTTGATATTATCCGCCTAATATTTGTAGTTTGCCAATAAGTCATATACCAAAAAGGATTCGAAGCCAATTAATGGCCGTCGGATTTTCATGGCTTTGCCCTGATAGGAGCAGTCTTCTTGTTCGACCACCTGCGAATTTTGTGGAGGTTTTGGAGAAGATTCTTAGCAAAATGTCGCCTAACGCGAATTGTGTGCTGCGACTTGCCGTTTGATCTTCGGACCCTTGCAAATGGGTAGAGTTTTCTATTCGGCTGTGTTTTACTATTTTTTCTTTTTTTTCTTTTTGCTTTCAACAAAAAAAAACAGGTGCCAAAAAGTCATTAAATGTTTGTAGTTCACGTAGTTCATTGGACTTGGTTGAGTGACATATCATATTGAAACCCTCTCAATCATGATTAGAACCACATTTAAAATTCCCAAAACTTTTTTCTAGTGCCGAGAAAAACCGGTTGGACATTTTTGATTTTTTGTGTATTTTCGAGTAAAGCGATAGAATAACGTTAGCTATTTATGAAAATTACTTTTTAGGCTAAAATTTAATTTTAATTTGAAAAAAAAAACATTATATGGGTTGCCTTTATGACGCTTCTCTAGCTAAATAAATTTTTCGAATATATTTATAATTTTTTACTGCAAAAAACTGAATTTTTTTTTAATTTATTTTTTTTCAAAACAAAAATTATAGTCGTTTATGCCTAGTTCACGAAGTTTTTTCGGGCTTTTATAGCTGTATCATCACACGACGTGCAAGAAAAGTCACTAACTTGAAAAAAATTTCTGAGAATATGGTCGGAACATTTAGCACTACTTTCGCAGCAACAGGCTATCATTGTTTTGTATTGTTGCATTACCATCCAATCAACAAGCTTATGTCAGCACCGTTTCATGAAACCATTTGAAAACTAGTTTTTTTGTCTTTTTGTACTATTTCGCGAACATTATTTTTTTGTCTTCTTGTACTATTTCGCGAACATTGTTATTGTTACTATTTTTTGGATTCTTCTACAGCTCTTCCAATCATTTGTAATTTTATGTTCATCTATTCTAAATTTTTGTTCCCGTTTTTCGACTGTCTGAAAGTTGGCACTTTGGGTTCAATGATCGTTTACAAACAAAGTTAGTTTCCATCTGAAATCTCCAAAAATCAATAATAACAGTTAAAAGTTGCGAATGTGAAAATATCTTAATAGTTTTGAAAAATTAAAGATATCTACGATATATATGTTCAATGTACTTTATCATCAACAAGTTTAGAAAAAATAAATCAGACACTATAAAAGACGGTTTCACAAAAACAAGATTGTGCCATGATACGCTTTTTTTTATGGGTAAAATGCTGAACCCGATATGAACATACACACGTAAATCAAAAAATTAGCATAAGCATCCTTTTTATGGTCTAACGAGGGTTCCTACAAAATATAAAGTTAATAAAGAAGAATAAATATGTTAGAGATGGAACAAATTGCCCGCAAGCTAATTTAGCTCTTTTTTCTCTCCCCACCCCTCACCTGCAAGTTTTTTACCTGCAAAAATTACTGTTCCCACCAACCGATTGTTATGAAAATTGACATGCTAACTAAATAGACCAAGACAAATATATTTTGTCTTCATAAAAAACCTTGTAAGAACCCTCATTACACCATAAAACTGATGCTGATGTGAGGTGGAGGGGGAGGATAATTTGTTGCTTTATTCATTGCAAGCAAAATATGCACATATAGCTTTGCAGGTCGACTGAAAAATAACAAGAGCCAAAAAATTACCTAAATCACACTGAAGTTCAAATACTGAAGGAATAGAAAAGACGGTTCTTTCCCTTTTCCCCGCCTCGTTCAAAGTTTCAGGTTTCTTTATTTTAGCAGCTGCTGTGCGTGAAGTCAGTATGTGTGAAGTCACTATGTAAAGTCACATATGTAGGGCTTGAGAAACAGTTTAATCACTATGATTACTGGGTTCATCATGCAACACTTTATTACATTACGAAAACGTTCAATAAAAATTCACAACAAAAATTAAAATGATTGGGAGGTGGGGTGGGGCTTGGGGTATTAGAAAAGAACCAAAAAAGGCCCAAAATGGAAAGATTGTCGTCAAAATTAGTAGTGAACGAAAGTCACACAGACACAGACTGGTTTCCTGTCATCAGCGGAGTCCCTCAAAGGTCGGTACTAGAGCCAATAATGTTTGTACTGTACATCAACTTCATGGGAGACGGAGTCACCTCCAATATGTTTTTTATACTGATGATGCAAACGTTTACAAGCCGATTACAACCGCCAAAGAAAGAGACGAACTGTAGACTGATCTGAATCGACTTTCAATGTCGTCCAAAGGAAGTTTAATGAAATTTAGTCTCTCGAAATGCCACAAACTAATATTATCAGTAAGAAGAAGACGACAGAAAGAAATTATAAACTGAAGGGCAAAAATGTTTTGAGCAATGTAGGAAACGAGAAAAACCTGGGGGTCATCATTGAGTCAAGCTTACTCATTCAAGAACATATTGCAAAGGAGACAAAGTTAGCTAATAGTGTGGTTACCGGAGGAAACCATGGCGAATTTCTACAAAACAAAACGTATATCAATCAATCCTGGAACCCTTTCCTGATAAAAGAAAAAGTAGCGATTGAAAATATTCACCGAAAGGCAACCAGATTAACCTCACGCTTATGCAAATGAGCTTACTTTGAAAGATTGAAAACGTTGACGCTTCCTACCCAGAATTACAGAAGAAAATATGGACGTATGATAGAAGTGTAAACAACTGTGGCTACGATATAACAGCAACTGAAAGAAACTTTACAAAAAACGATAGAATTTCTCCTAAAAATCCGTTCAAATTGATAACAAGAAAGTCACGAACTTGTTTACGGAGTAGCTTCTTCACTATAGCAGCCATAAACGACTGAAACTGACTACCAGCGTCTGTAATTTTTAGCATTCACATCAACTTGCTCCAATTGATGCTGGATAAACATTGGAAAATTGACAAGTATGATACATTCTTTGTTGAATGACGAAACGGGCCTCCGAAGAAGGAGCAGATTGACAGAGGCTGAGAAGCCTATAGATCAGAAAAAACTGTATACCTGTATGTATACTTGAAACTTGAATACCTGTAAACATGTAGTTCAGAAAAAAAACAATTGGAAAAAAATTAAATAAAAAAGAAAAAAAAATACTTGATTTTGTAGGAAAGAGCTCATTTTCTTGTTCAAATAATTTTCTTTAACGATAACAAATTATATCTTGAAATAATTTCAAATAAAATAAAAGAGTTAAAGAACTTTTTCCCATAAAAAAAGCCCAGCTTTAACAGCAGCGACTTTTAAAAAAGTTTTATTAGAAGAATCTAACAACTTCTTGCAAATTTCGGCTCTTTTTCCTTTTCCCCCCACCTCACACAAACCTGAATTTTATAGTCTAACGAGTAGTTTTACAAGGTTCATTATGAAGACCAAATATGTTTGTTATGGCCTAATCAGTCTGCCTGTCAATTTTCATGGCAATCGGACAAAGTGAACAGTAATTTCAAATTGAAAATTTTGCAGGTGGGGGGGGGAAGGAAAAA